TTTAGGGGACATGTTAGTACCCTTTATGGTTCAATCCTGCACCTTTAGGGGTGCAAACCGATGCAACAATAGCAGCACCTTTAGGGGTTAAATCCTGCACCCTTTAAGGAGGGTGCCAGATTGCACCCTTTATAGGAGACATGTTAGTACCCTTAATAGTTCAATCCTGCTCCTTTAGGGGTGCAAACCGATGCAATAGCAGCACCTTTAGGGGTTCAGTCCTGCACCCCTTAAAAGGTGCAATCTTTCTCCCATACTCGAGGAATACTCGTGATATTTGCTCATACACAAATACATATTAAACATGCATGTTGTTTATTGGTTAGTAATCATATTATCAATGTATCATTCGCTAAAACGTGAATGTAATTGTAACATGATCAGAAAAAATAATCTATTTGTTTAATGATTGCCGAAGGAAAATTCAAATCACAAAATTGATGTACATTGTCATAATTTGTTTAACAAATCATGATAAATGTATTTTTTATGTGAACACGTGTAAAGTAATCATGAATATGCATGCAATATGCAAACTTTTATTTTGCACCCTTTTGGTCGATAGGGTTCATTTTTGTGGGAAGGGTGCAAAATCTTTTTTTGCACCCTTTTTTGTACCCCTTTTCCTTCAAAAGGGTTCATTTTTATGTAAAGGGTGCAAACTCTTATTTTGCACCCTTTTTTGCACCCTTTTTTCTTAGAGTGTACAGGGCCCTGTTTCATAAAACTTGATATCAATAACGAATTACAAGCTACTGTTATAAGCTACTGAAATCAGGTACCTGATTGGCTGACAGCAAATTTGTCATATAAATTAAGCAGTTGTTATCATCGAAGTCTAGACTAGAATTCTGCACAGAATTTCAAAATTCATTACTTAAGCTAATTTTTATTTCGTTGGATGCACAAAATATTGACTTGATCATCGTTATGATGAATAATGCACCATTATTCACAATTGCCTTCTTCGTCATTTCGCAGCCATTTTATTAGAGAAATGAAAATCATCACAATTTCTTTAGCCGGATGCCTAATGAGCGCTACGTAATTGACGCTCTGATCTGTATATATATAGGAAGGTGAATTTGAAACAGTCATAAATCCCTAGACATATTATTTCTATATATCTATTTCATTTATTCTTTTGATTTAATCAGGCTTACTCTATCAGTATTTAAACCATTTTCCTGAGAGACCCTGTACAAAGAAAATTGAACAAATTTTAAAATCATACATACCATATCATGGATTTTTTAATGGATTTTTTTTTCTTATATATTTTTTTTTTATACATCATGATATGAACATGAAAAAATTAGATATTGGACCAGCTTATACGATTTAATACGCGTTCTTTAAACTCGAATAGCTAAAAAATTAAATCGGGAAAGCCGAATACTTGTTTGGTTTGTTATTACAGAAAAGAACTGACTCTGAATCTAATACACTTATCTATATTATTATTACAACAACAATTCAATTTGGATTATCATATGATGTAAAATTATATTTGAATA